AAGACCCTCGGTAATGTACCAATACCACGGATGGATCCCAAAGTTCGCACTTCCGCCTTGTAGAACATTGAAAGAAAGAAAATTCCACAATGTAGAAGTATAACGGGCATAACATATTGAATCGAGGAGCGTAGAGAGAACCAAAATAGGTAGAGTTGCTGGCAATACTGTGAGAAAAAGCAGACGAAGTGGACTAGGATGACGCAAGAGATGAGAGGAGCCGAGAACGATCCACAAAAGTGCTGCCGTTGGACGAACGGCAATGGTCAGCATGCCTATGGACATATAGGGCCAGACCGTGGCGTGGAGACGCTTATTATCGAAAGGATACCAAAGTAGGGCTATCAGAGTGAGCACAGTTTCCAAACAATTCGAGAGGGTACGTGGTGCACAATAGAAAACAAACCATGATGAGAGATAGGTAACAGTTGAAAAGAAAGCCATATTCGCACTCGGTAACAGCGAACGTGACACCTTGTAGAAGGAGATATCGCCTAATGAGAATAAGAATGCATGCAAAACTCGAGGTGCGTTGACAATTACAGCTCGAGAGTCTAGGTTAAAATACTGGATAACCTTGAACAACAGTGCAATCATTGCTGGATGAATTGGAGATCGGAGCGCATACGACCACTCCCAAGTAAGATGACCACTGCCGAATACAGCACGATGAGCGACCTCGCATGACTGATAGGTTTCGTCTGGAACAAACCAGCTTTGGACCAGTAGCACTCCAATCAGACGGAATATGAGAAGCACGAGCCAGACACGGAAGCAACGCATCGCTGGGTTTTCACTGAAAATGACCGACGGTAAGACTGAGGCGATTACCAATCGAAGACCAGTTCTCATCAATCACGTGAAGCGTCTATCAAGAAGTTGACGCTTTCATATAGAAACTGAAGAAAGAGTACTAATTGTGACCGGACCTCCACTTATATGTTCAGAAGGAAATGGCACATCTCTAATATGCAGCTCAAAAATGAAATGCAAGTGAACATTTAGGAATAATCGAGTATAAAGCGCTCCAAGGTACTAGAAACCAAACGACCTACGAAGTACTCGGATACAGATCTAGCTCAAACCACTTCTGACCTCCTTACCACCTTAGAAAGTCGCACTAAAGCAGCTAAAAACGGATCAACTCAGTACTGTAAGAATCCCAAGTTCAGCACACCACTTCTCTTAGCTAATAACACTTTCTTTCCGACAACATTTTAACCCTATGTAGTACTCCAAGCAGGATCAATAATGACACTTCGCCCTAATAGGTGCTGTAAAACAATGATATAAAAATGAAAAGAACCAAAGACTAACCTTTTTCAAGAATCTGACAATCCTCTTCAGGTCGTACTCGGTTCCAACGCCTTGAACAGTAGTAATAGTCTTGCGACCAGTACGCTGCTGTATTCGTATATGACAGAAGCCTTGACGAGCACCGTGCTCGTCTTCGAGTTGCTCAAATGCGTCTGTAACAGGAAAATGATGAACTTGATAAATATATTCTATCAGAAAATTTCAAAGCTTTTTAATAGTAGTATGTATTCACAAATTTATATCTGAGGTTTCTGAGTGGTATATACGATATTCGGTCCTAGACGGGAGTTGAACGCGTGTTCCACTTAGATCAAAAATGCGTGATACCATTACACCATCAAGGCCACCGCTTTGCTACCTCCTTCTTCGATATGAGCAATCGCCGGGTGAATTGCGGGTTCAACTCCTGCCTGGGTCGAATGCTCTGAATACCACCCACAACTCTTGGATGATGAATTTGAATTCAATGATAGCCAAAAAACAACTTCAAATGTTATTCACTACGAGTGTCACCATCTGGTTCCCGATGGAATCAAAGATGAAGCGTTCGGCGCTGATCAAGCTCTGAGGAATAGCCATGCAAACTTCCATCTCAGCTTCATTTGTACTACCTGGATGCACGTCTTGCCTCTGGAATGACTCGCGATGGCCTATAGATGATTAAAGTCAATGCTGCCATTATCTTAGACACGCCTAGCAATTCACTGACCCCAAGCAGATGGAAGGTCTGGTGAGCTTTGAGCGAGGGAACGAACCATCGGCTTATTCATCAAGTGTCGAAGAGCACCTCTAACACAGCGCCACACGCGCTCAGATGTCAGCTTAGTTTGATGCTGATATTTTACCAAACCAGACAAAAGTTGGTTGCTAACAATTGCGGTAGGCTGTGTCGAAGAAAGAGTAGCAAAGAGGAGGCCTTGGTGGTGTGGGGGATCACGCTCTTCCGGAAAAAGTAAAGCGCGTGTGCGTAGCATTCATTACTCTGAGACATCAAAAGTTCCTTGTTGTGATCGTCATCATCTTGCTACTAAAACGTCGTCATACGTGCCCTACTGATTTTTAAAACTTCATCCAGTACACTTTCCTGTGGAAAGATAAGTTTTCAACTAAATCTAACGAGAAAGATGTTCATGAGGAACGGATGAGTTTTGAATGCCCCATTCACGCTCAACGGAACGAAATCCTCTGAATGCTCCAGTTACGTCTATCTAGGTCGTGAAATCAACATGATGATCGACCTAGCTCTAGAGTTGAGCAGGAGGAAACGAGCGGCTTGGGGAACGTTTAAGAGCATCAAAGATGTAGTGAAGAGGACAAAGAACATCCGACTCCGTGCCCACCTTTTCGACTCGACAATTATCTCTGCCCTAACGTATGCAGCAGAAACCTGGTCGCTAGGTAAGCACGATGAAAAATCACTTGGCGTTATCGAGCGCGCAGTCGAAAGATCGATGCTAGGAGTATCCCGTATCTTGCGAATGAGAGAAAGGATTCAAAGTTTCGACCTAAATCAACGATTGCAAATCAGAGACGCCGTTCTACACGCCAGGATATCGAAAATAAGGTGGACCGGACACGTGATGCGCTTCAACGACAACCGATGGACGAGAGCCGTTACCGACTGGATTCCTCGGGACGTCAAGCGCTCTACAGGAAGATCACGGACCCGTTGGTCCGATTTATTCACGAAAGCTTTAGAAGAAAAATGGAAGTGTTGCTGGTACCTGCTCGAGTCACTCGACGATCAACGGGACGACATGTGATACAGGTGAAATACACCTTCAGTTAAACTTTCAAATAGGTCGTGACGATCAACTTCAAAATCTCCGAGACTTTCTCTTGCCCTTTCGGGATCTTGAACCCACCTCCCCTGCATCTCTAACCCCCAGCTTAGGAACTTCCTTAACGCATTACTGCATGATTTCAGATGCCCTATTGTTGCTATTTCCTATTTATAACAACCTGTTAAATCTACATATAACATAACAGAAGGAATACAACTGAAACAATATAAGAATACTTTCATTGCGTCCCCATGTTGAGATCAGCGATGCAGAGGAGGTGCAGAACACCGTTACGCGTTAACTTTAACTTAACTTTGGGGGTTGAAGACACAGAGGAGGTGGGTCCGCGGTCCCTGAAAGGCTAATGAGAGTTCATTTTCACTCTAAAGTTATCCCTCCGGACTCCTACATGAAAGTGAACTGAAAATGGATTCAAGAAGACGAAGCTCAAGTGATCAACAAGAAAGATTGAGTGAGCGCGGAGAGAGCGGTAATACCCTATGTTCCGGTTTTGTAAGTCAAATTCTCGAAAAAAAGGCTTTTAAACTAACCTTTCGGCTTATTCAAATTGGTAATACTCGCCATAAACAAGACCACAGCAACAATTAGCTAGCTTAACCTGAAAAAGTACAAGATTGACGGTGTAGAAGGGAGCTTCGATCAGTCAAAACCAGACCGCTCGCTACGTCAAACCGCACAAAATACATACGGGGTTTTCTATCATGAATGGGTTATCCATGATAAAAACAAAGCACATTATCGCTGAGTAAGCGACACAATTATTACTCGAACAACAACAATAACAATAACAACATAAACAAGTAATTAACAACAATCTAACAGTAAGCTCAACGTAAAGAAATCTAAGGCAGGAAAGCGATATTTTAATTTAAGAAAGGATTCCATCATTAAAAAGAGTGCCGGCTATACTAACACACTCTATCGCAGAAAGAGTGATAGTGTAACAGAAGCCCTCAAAGAGCAGTGGTTAGCAGACGCCCTCGTAAAAGGTGAACGCGGGTTCAACTCTCGCCTCAGGCTCTGACTGGATTTACAAAGAACTCACTACATAGAAGAAGCTTCCTTCCACGAAAAGAGTTAGTTTCGGAATTAACAAAGCTCAAGTCGATACATAAACGAACAACTAGCACTCGAACAACAGCATCGACAAAAACAAACAAGCTAAGAAACCCAATATTGATTAATGATGTGCAAAACTTTGACGTCGAGCGCGACCGAACCCGCATTTCATCCTTCCCGGGGACGAAATGACGAAATGAAATGAATCGATGCGCAGTGGAGTGGAAAGATTGGTGGGTAAAACGAGCGTCACTAGTGTAACGCGTTAGAGCACCCCTACCTGGACAGAGCGAGATGAGGGTTCGAGTCCCGCCTGGTGCAAAAACTTTTGCACACCACTCAATATCATTGGGTACATATATATGTACCAATATACTACCGCTGAAGGCGACTAAATAAGAAGCATTTCGTTTGATCAAACAATCAAAGAACAAACAACAACAGCTTAGCAAAAAGCCTAACATAAAAAATAAGGAATTAAAGTGTTTTTATTGCACTTCGAATTGTTATGACGCTTTCTATATACCTAAGAGAATTGAGTAGTGAGCAAAAAAGCGACCTCGGGCGGGAATCGAACCCGCGTTCCATCCTATCCAGGGACGCGTACTCTACCACTACACCACCGAGGCCCGTTTGCCCGACCACTCATTCTTCAACATCTCAATGTTAGCTATCAGTCACCAACCTTTGACAGGTTTGGTCGGGTATGTGATTGCGCTTTATAAAGCCAGTTGAGCTGACAGCTAAGGTTTACAGCTCAAAGGTTGGTGGCTAATAGCTAACATTGAGATGTTGAAGAATGAGTGGTCGGGCAAACGTGCCTCGGTGGTGCAGTGATAGAGCACGCGTCTCCGGATATGATGAAACGCGGGTTCGATTCCCGCCTGAGGCCGCGTTTTTGCTCACCACTCAATTCTCTTAAGTATCTAAAAAACAAGAACAAAACGCGACACTGTGAGAGAAGACTCGGTTCATAAGAAGACCGCCTGCTATATGAACACCTATCGCAGAAGGAGTGACAGCAGAACAGGAGTTCCGGTAGCGTAGTGACTAGCAGATATCCTCGTAGATAGCGACAAGCGGGTTCAACTCCCACCCGGGGCTCCGATTGGATATAGAAGAACAAAAACAAACAAATATAAAAACAACAATCCAACGAGAAGTCCAGCCTAAAACGACTTTGGTGCGATAGCGTCCAACAGGAGAGGATTTGATCAATACAGAGACCCAATAATGTGGAGTGCTGTGCAAAAACATTTGCGCCAGCCGGGATTCGAACCCATGTCTCACTCTTTCCGGTAGCGTATGCTAAGCGTTGCACTACCGTACAAAGAACGTCGGCTATATCAACATATATCGCCGAAGGAGCAATGGTAAAACACAAGCCTCCATAGTACAGTGGCTAGCAGACGCCTCAGGAAAGGGTGATGCACGGGTTCGACTCCCGTCCGAGGCTCCGATCGAGATACAAGCTTTCTATCATAGGAAGTTATTCTAAGAAGAAACACAGCTGAAATCGATACGTATCGATACAACAAGAAAACAAACAAAGAAACAAACAACATTTCAACGACAAGTTTGGTCCAGAAAAAAAATCCGATATGAGATCGATACCGCAGTAAATTATCCGATCAATAAGGAGATCGTCGAAGGACTCCGATAGCAGAACAGGAGACGCAACAGCGAAGTGGCTAGCGGACGCGACCGGAAAGGGTCACGCGCGGGTTCGACCCTGTCCGATGCACCGATAGGGAATCGTAAAAGAGAGTTATCTATGAGAAGAAGAAAACTTAAATCCGAGAAGCGATACAACCCACCGCCGAGCACGAGCACCCAGGGGAATGAACCAGAGGTGACAACGTCACGAAATCGATCGTTAAAGGTCCGCTGCTACTGCAGTAATTACTGGTCCTGCAACGAAAAGAAAAGATATAGTAATTAGGACGTTCATGAATCTGCGAGCAATTTCATTTTTGTCCCATTTGAGGCTTCTTTTACGGTCGTATTCTGGTGTATTTCTTTTATTCCTAAGTCTTCAGCTCGTGCATTGAAGTATTGATGATTAAAGGTGCGCTACGTTTACAGTCGGTTGTGATCCTGCAACGAAAAGACGAATTGTACGGTATTCTTGACAGTTTAGAGACCTGGACACTTTCATTTCCCTTGTGAGCCATCGGAGCTCGTTGACCAACGCTCCCTGTGTTTTCAGTCTCTACTTTGAAGGCTCTGATTCTTTCGATTATTTCTTGTCTGGATCTCTCAATTTCTTCGTCTATGAGTCCTCCCTAACCCCTCCCCTTACCCATTCTCTTTAGAAATCCTAAAATTAGAAGAAGGGGTTAAATGACCCTCTTCTGTTAGTGGTCTTGAGAGGGTTAGGTCAGGCTCCTCTTTTGATGTTGTAGGGGGTCAAAGTGGTTCAGTAGGAGGGTAACGGGCCGAATTAGGGATGCTATGGGCGGCGTGTATGTCTCCAGGTACACGAATATTCAAAGGCCTTTTCGCTGGACCGAGCTATTCACCCAAGCTTTTGATAACTACTGTTTGAAAGCTCAAGGAGCGCATGTGACGCGGTGATTGGAGGTGCTCTGCCTCGCACACGAGGTCGATGGTTCGATCTCGCGCTCGACCATCCATCCCTTTGGGGTCGACAAATTGGTACCAGACTGGTCTCAGCCTTGTCTGGGAGGATAGAGGAGGCCACCGCGAGTCATTGTAAAGGCCAGATATGGATTCAGTCTCCTTAAACGTAGTCGGAATTTTAGAGACGAATGCATGGCGCACCCCGGGTTTTGATTTACGCTGAAAGCTTTATCCTTTTATCCTTTTTGGAAAGTTGAAATTTCGTTGATTTCAGCGCTATGATTGATTTGTGTTTCAGGCCTTTTTAGCTTTGTTTTAAGAAAGCTAAGATTGTATTTCACACTCGGCGCGCATTTTTGTTCACTTTGAGTTTGTGGATGGTTTTTTTTTGTTGAGTTTAGTATTGATTTGATAGCGGAAATCCTGCTGATTCTGAAACTAGGTGTGGTTTTTAGAAAGAGTTTCAAATGTCGCTGTAAGAGCGAAAAGAAGATCGCGTTTCCCGCCCAAAAGTTTTCCTACCGGAAAGAATTGTATATGCATTAGAGTTTATGTGCAGTTAGTTTAGTTTATGTGTAGAAGAAGTCATGGCGTATCAAAGACACACTAAAAATTTTAATTTTTTCCCGTGAAAACGGAAAAAAAAACTTTAATAAAGTAACGAAAATCGCGCGCGCAGCTCCCGAATCGTGCTGCGCAATTGATCAACCGCCGTTCCGACGGGGTAGACCATTTCGGGACCGTGTACCCACCCCCTTTGTATCTCTAACTCCAGCGTGGAAGCGCCGGACGGTCTGCTCCATCTCCTCTCCGTCTCTGACCCAGCTTGGGAACGCATTTGAATGTATCGTTGTATTATTTCAGGTGTATTATTGTTATTGTTTTCCTATTGTGTTATATGTAAATATATAAGGTCGTTATAAGTAGAAAAATAATAGCAACAATACGATTGAAATATCGCAATCAGTGCGTCCCCACCGTGGGGGCTAGAGGTGCAGAGGAGGTGGGTTTGCGGTCCCGAAAGGGTTAATCGCCCTCAAATGACCACGTTAGGTTAGGTATTGGGTTTGTGTACCAACGCGTTCGACCAAAATGTCAGTATTTTTGTACTCTAGTAATATTTGTTAGGCTCTTTGTTCTTGGTCATGTGCTTCACTGCGTGGTTTGAAGCGAGCTTATTCTTCCATCTCGATGTTTCCAATAGTTTAATGGTAAGTATCTGATTATATTCCCAAATTTTTCAGGACTTGAAGGTACAAAATGAGTCGCGTTCGTACGAAGACCGTTAAAAAGGCCTCGCGTGTGATCATTGAAAAATACTACACAAAGATCACCCACGATTTCCACACGAACAAACGTATCTGTGACGAGGTGGCCATCATTGGCAGTAAGCAGCTGAGGAACAAAATTGCTGGGTGGGTTGGTTTGACTTCGATGATGAGCAATCATCGTTGATTCCATGAGATTTGTTTTATCCTTTCATTATTATTTGGGCCAACTTGTCATGTGGTCTGGTAAGGGCTCTTGTACAGCCCGATACACGTGTTTAGTCCTTATGGACTCGTCAGTCAGGCAGAACCCGCCGTCTTGCGATATTTTTAGTCAGTTCTCTCGGGAGCTCTGCTCCCCTTACAGAGCTTTATCGAAGACGAACGTTTTACCCTCTATGTCAAGCGAAGTTTTCACCTAGCACAGAGCGTTTGCGCACTTGATTGCTCTTTGGCTGGTATTTTTATCACATTATACCCTTATTTCAAGTGCTTTATTGAGACCACGCTCAAATTTCAAAAGATCCTTTCATTATTATTTGAGCCAACTTGTCATAAACCCTTACCAGACCACATGATAAGTTGGCTCAAATAATAATGAAAGGATATAATGAAATTTGAGCGTGGTCTTAAGAAAGCACTCGAAATAAAGGCATAGTATTTCTTTTTATGTTTGTAATTTGATTTCCCAACTTTCAGGTATATCACACACTTGATGAAGCGTATTGAGAAGGGCCCTGTTCGTGGTATCTCGATCAAGCTTCAAGAGGAAGAACGAGAACGACGAGACAATTATATGCCGGAGATTTCTGCCGTTGCGCCATCGGTCATCGGACAGGTGAAGGTCGATCCTGTCACGAAGAGCATGTTGGAAGCAATGGTAAGTCCTCGTCTGACTACTCATGTTTATCCTATGAAATAAACATCGATAGCCAACTGGACACAATTTTTTGGGTTTCATTTCAACTAAAGCGCTTCTCAATCCTTCCAGGAAAGTTTTGTCATTTGGAATTGGGTCTTAAAGTTCCTACCGTTATTTTTCGTACATAAGCCAGAATTGTGGTTGTCGACGTCGCTGTCGAGATAGACACCACAAAAGGGACAAGGGCTATCATTTACTGAATCTAAGTAGTATTTATATTGCCTCTCAATCGATGTTTTTCCCAAATTTCGCTATAAACATTCAGTATTGTTTGTCAAAATGTTCAAGGCCTTTTCGAGTTTGATACGTCATTGACTTACGTACGTTTCGGCGGTATCACTCGCTGCCTCATCGGAGCCACACTTTCCACATTGAATCCTTTTTATGACAAAAATGGGAAGACATGTTTTGATGATGGCATGTGATTGTGTTTGTCATATTTTTCAGTCGATGGTTTACGGCTAGTAGAGATAAATCGACTGAAAAAATGGTTATAACCATAATCACTTGCTATCATCAGAACACGTTTCCCCATCCCTGATAGAAAGTAGGGTTAGTACGGGACTTTCGGCTCTGATGGGCGGGCGATACCGCTGAGACGTGCGCACGCTACAGACTTATCAATATCGAGCACGCTCTAAACATTCTGAAAGCCTGTAGTCTTTATATTGTTGAATGTTACTCATTCTCGTTTGTGATATTTACACTGGTTGCTAATGTTACCCTGAGTCATCGCGCTACCCTAAGACCAAATTATAGCTTGATATTAGTGCAGCGCGTGTACCACAATGGTTAGAGGTGCTGTGGGGCGCGTGACCGATCAGTCGTTGGTTCGATTCTACTCTCAAAACTTACCAAGCGTTCCATCTCTCCGATCTCAGTAAACTGGTACCAGAATTTTCTGCGAGATTACCAGCATTGACTTGTTACATCTGTAGGCCATCGCGAGTCATTTCAAAGATGAGATATGTATTCACTCCCTCAAAATTGTTAGGTGAAGTCGAATGCATAGCTTATCTCCAAGGATTGGTTAACACTGAGCTACTTATCCTTCTATAAACTAATTTCCACATCTCGAATTAAACATTTTGGAAGGAACTTGAAGGAGGCTTTCCTTAAATCAACATCAGAAGCGCCGCTGAACTTCTGAATATTTTGTGGATGGAGAAGCACTATCAAGGATCGCACCAATTTCACTACAATAGCTTACCTATCATTCTTGTGGTTCCTCTATGCTGAACCCTGATATTACTACGAACCATTGCTTCTTTCTGGAAGCAAACTGTACCTTGATAGCCAAACTCTATATCTCAGAACTACCAGTATACAAAAACAAGATTTTACGAAAGCAACTTCATCTAAGGATCTGCTGGATGTGGGGTATTGAATTTTGGGTAAATGGCGAAAGGTCCTCGAGGAATTTGTTTTTTATACTGCTTTAATTGACCTGTCGCTTTGTAGTCGTCCTAAGAATGAACTTTAATTTGAGCATATCGATAGTTCTCGATCCGTGACTCTTATAGAAGTGATCATTGTTAATACTTGAGTAGTTATCGAAAATTCGCAGGATAAGAATCTTTTTGAATTGCTTATTATTGAGTTATGTTATTAATTGTTCTTATACATCTCTCCTGTTTACAAAAATGGCTCTACATTTTTACGAAATGCCATCTTTATGAAGTC